TATCTAAATTTGCGCGGTTCCGGACAGCCTGTGCACCCAAGGGGTAATTGAAGATGAATACCATTTTATATTCCAATGCCCAATGTACAAAACAGACCGAGTCACCTTTTTAAGTAAAACCTCAATCCTAAAAGCTGATCCCAGGTCACCAGACAGTCATTTATGCCATGTATTTAACAGTGCCAAAAAAGATACTCTAGTGTCTCCAACTTTATAATCAAATCATTCAAGAAAAGAAGTGAAGTAGTTGCTCTGCTTGGTAACTCTTAGCATATCCCTTAAAATGTCAGTGTATGGTCCCACTGTTGTGAGAAGTGACTCGGCAGTGGGACTGAACATGGCACAATATTTATATCTGTGTAACTTATTTATTTATCTGTCTTATGTAATTGTCATTAGTCGTAATTATCCATGTCATCAAACTGGCTTTAAACAGCTATGTAACCTTTGTTTTAAGTTTAAACATATTCTTTTTGTGTAACATGTTTATAGTATGTTTATGGTAAATTTAAAATCACACCAAGGTTTATCGCATTGCTTAGATAGAATATTTTACGAGTAATTTTACTGATACGTATGTCCATTATATAAAGATGGTAATGCACTAACTGTATTGTATCGTCATTAGTATATCATATTGTACAAGGTCATGACAATCTATGTACCAGTACAGAAATAAATTGAATTGAAATTGAATTAATAATATCGAAAACCAAATTAATTCAAATACAAGCAGGAACATTTTGATTTTAAATATTAAATCACACGCAAGTTTTTAGAACTCCCACATGACCTTTTGAAGTTAAGTAACGGATGCCCCAAGAGTAGGGGCATATGGGCAATACATAGACACCTTACGGACATCGTATACGACAAATGAAACCTAGGATTGGATATTTGGTAAATTTTTAATATATATGGTCTGGAATTATGCGTACAATTTTTGAAATGTTTGCAGGCGCACCTGAGAGAAATTTCAGTCTCATATTTTTATTATTAACAAAAACTGTTTGGGCGCGCGCGCGCGCGCGCGTGTGTGTGTGGTCCTTTATAAGGGTAACGAAACGAGATCTGCACATTGCTCAATCGACTGGTTTCCTAGATTTAATTGTATTGTCATCACAGCCACATGCAGCATTACTTATATACAACCTGTGCCAGTAATATATTGCCTTATATACTACTACTCTTATACTAGTACTACTCTCACCACTACTACTTCATCTTGTAGGCCTACTACTACTACTTACACTGCCACAGGTATGCTGAGGTGAGTTTCCAGAAGTCTCTTAGATGCTGTTGTGGACAACCTGAAAATATTTGTTCCCCCTGAGTTAGTGCAACTGTTGTAACGAATTGATAGTTTTGTATGTCTCCCTTCCTTTCCCCTACATCCATCC